ATTGTGAATATTTCGGCAAGTAAACATTGTTCACAAAGCCCATGTGGTCTGTTCATCTAATTGAGTCAAGATGTACTCAGACCAGTCGTTGTTTAGCTGCTAGGGTCATCAACAACAACAAAAGTATTATTATATTGTAATTATTGTAATTATTCAAGACTTCTGTTCTGTCGTGTCTTTGAATGTTTTTGTCTTTTTAAACTGAAAAAAAAAGCAGAATCTCTTCACTATGTACTGCGTAATGTAATCATTATCCTACAATATACAATATATCACTGTTAAAATTTAAGCATCATTTCTGGAGTAAGACCTGTGATTCTTTTGAATACATGTATTGACAAACACTAGTCTAATAATTGTGTAAATCAACTTTTTTATTTTCGTCCTTATACTCGTATTAGTACTTTACAATACCATCAGAAGAAAACAAACAAATACACCGGTAGTTAATGCTTACAATTATTTGTGACTCCATACAGCCACGGATTTGAAACCTTTCGATTTCTTGAGGCTATCCAACAGATGAATAAAATGTTTTGACAATACTATTAACAAGTCTTGCTAGATCGTTTAAAACTCTGAAATGTTCATCATGTATGCTCATAAATTATTCAAAAGCCACTCATTTTGTTGTCCACTTCATATAAGAAAAGAAAGAGATATGCTTTATGGGTTTTGTAATCCTCTGCTAGCTGTCATGATCACTTTTTAACAGAATGATTTACAAATAGGAATATTTCAATAAAAAATTAATAAAATCCCTTGAAAAATGGGATGGAGTAATAAAAGATACAAAAACAATCTATGAAATATGTTTATTTAGAGTTTTGCGTCATTGCAACAGCTAAGAAAAGAAAGTCGAAGGAAAAAAATTGATAAAAGTGAAAAAACCCATTCCAATATGGACGGCAGATCGATTTTTGTTATTTATATATATCCCTATGCAGATGATATCTAGATGAGTGATTTAATATCGCCAGTTCTTGATTTGCTAGTATTTCTGAGGTGCTTTGAAACATCTAACCGAGGCAGATCCATTGCGGCATGGTTCAATACGGGGTTAGGGCAACTTAGATTTTAGATTAAAAGCAAGAAAATTACTGTTTGGGAGAGAAGAAAGAAAATCGTTACCTCACTTTTTTTCTAGTTTTGCAAACTTTCTGTAAACCGTAATGCTACTTATTAATGTCATACGTGTAACAAACCGCAATCTTCACATGATGGTATAAATTAAAGCCTAGCATTGAGTTTCGTATTGCTATGATATGCACATTTCTTCAAATATCAATTTAGAGCAGGTTCGTCCCATGACAACGAGGCAGGATCGGCCCATGCCATACACAGGAGGTCATGAAATTGGCGGGAAAGTACGACGTTGCATGCTTTATGACGTCATACTTATGCTAATACCTATGTGGGCCAAACTAACCCCAGTCATCCTGTCCGAACTTAACCCAAGGCGGTCCACATTAGGCGATACACTCAGTAAAGAGTAAAATAACTCCTCAAATACGGACATGTTTGCCATTCTGTTATAGTTTTATGAAGGGCATGGAATTTTTCTTCCTAATGTTGTAAATACACATAAATGCTTTCCAGAACGACTTTTATGACAATGGGTCAAACTTTCCCCTGTCTACCAGATATTTTGAAAGAGAATCCCACAGGCTAGCAGGGGTTTGGGGAGGTATGAGGCTTCCTTAACTACCCCCCCCCCCCTCCCCCCTTCAAACAAATATAGATTTAATGGTACCTCAATTTAATTATGCAAAGATTTGATTCTAACATTTCAATCGACTTTACATAATATGAAACAGTTAAAGTATGCAGAAAACTGTATTTTTATATATGCCCGCTGAATAGGTCTCACCCATTTCATAAGACCGTTATGCCAATTCTGTCAACGGCTTCGCTAGTATCACAGAAAATTATTATGGCCTCTTTGCCTTCCCCTTAATGTTTACAATTTTTATCGTATATACTTAAAAGTTGATACACTGTGGAATCCTTAGGTAAAAAGTCTGACTGATTCTTAGAAATAATGTTATATCTTGAGAGGTATTTGAATATATACTTAAAGACATTTTTGTCAAACAGCTTGCTAAATATAGGGGATATAACAATGATAAAAAAAAGTCCTGTTCGGTTATGTCTATTGTTGAAAAGTATTGTCGGGGTCGGGGGCAATCGGGAGGTAAATCGTCAGCATTTTTTCAGTTACGGAAATTGAAGTGAAATTGTCATTAAATCTATGGGGTCGATTTTCAGTTCGCCGTTGATAACCAATGAAGAGTCATTGCCGTTTTTGAGATTCATAACCGATTTTGCAATACGCCACCATTTTCCGGGGGTATGGATCTATCAATTAAAGAAGCTTGAAGTTTAGATGAATATTTTTTAAAGCTGTTTAAAATTTCAGATCAGCACTAACTGGACAGCGATCACTCCAAGAGGGAGGATGTACTATTGTGTTATCAATAAAATTAACGTTGTTTGTTTGTATGGTGTCAAGTAAAGTTGAGGTCTGGGGATTAATCCTAGTTGGTTCAGTAACAGTGATTTCTAACCCATATTGAAATAGAATTCTATGTACATTTGTAATTGTAAGTTTAGATTTAGATGTAACATGTCTTGATTGATATCCCCTGCCAGGACAACTTTCCTTTGCAGATCAATACTATTATTTAGGTTAAAATGTAGTCAATTCCAGTAGCCAACGAGAGAGTTAGGGGTCTATATATACAGTCGGAAAGAGTAGGTTTATTATGGTTAGTTACTTCAGTCCATATTAACTCAAGATCAGCTGCCTCAAGGTTAGGTCTACGTTAATTATTAATATTATGTTTAGTATAAATCAGGACTCCGCCCCCGTGATTATCTCTATCCTTTCTAAATATATTACCAAAATGTCCCAAAGATACATGTATAGCGCTATCAGGAATTGATTTATCAAGGTGAGTTTCAGAGACGCACAGGATATCGTATTCAGGGAGCTCGGCATCACTGTTCATTAACGAACAAATATCAATATGACGACTAGATATATAATCTAGGTTGATGTTGGAGTTGTGAGGACCGGGGTTTTGGTGAATATTACCGCATATGGATAATATATATACTGTAATTAACATATAGTGCAAATTCAGAGATATTTTGTTTGTAGTGTTTACTTATGTAAGATTGTATATAATATCAAATTGTATAAGTTTGTGTTTAATATTAAATTTTGAAAGATTAAAAAAGATAAAAAAAAATAATAATAATAAAAAAATAAAGTAAAGAAAGGATTGACTACAAAGCCTTTATACAATTATATTATCTGTAGAATTTTTTTCGAGTTTTTCTCATGTAATGTTTCTTAGAATTAGTTTAAATTTTCCTTTCGAAAACCATATTTAAAACCAAAGAAAATGCGGAGAAGGTGAAATTGATGTTTTTGTTTGCGTCAAAGGTCATCTTTTAGTCAAACGTGAAATGTGCATGGGGAAAGGACAGTGATGCACTATATTTCTAGGGACAATACATGCTTTAACGACCATATACGTTTTATCATAGTAAGATTAGGCATTTACACCTTAAATAAAGCTAAGTAGTGGTTAGGTTTTGGTGAGTAGTTTACCAATGATCTTAAAACTTACTTAACTACAAACATGTCTGAATACTCACTCTGTGATTGTACTCCGTGTAACTACAAACCTATCTGAATACTCACTCTGTGATTGTACTCCGTGTAGCTACAAACCTATCTGAATACTCACCCTGTGGTTGTACTCCATGTAGCTACAAACCTATCTGAATACTCACTCTGTGATTGTAATCCGTGTAACTACAAACCTATCTGAATACTCACCCTGTGATTGTACTCCGTGTAGCTACAAACCTATCTTAATACTCACTCTGTGATTGTACTCCGTGTAGCTGAAAACTTATCTGAATACTCACCCTGTGATTGTACTCCGTGTAGCTACAAACCTATTTGAATACTTACTCTCTGTGATTGTACTCCGTGTAGCTACAAACCTAGCTGAATACTCACTCTGTGATTGTACTCCGTGTAACTACAAACCTATCTGAATACTCACTCTGTGATTGTAATCGGTGTAACTACAAACCTATCTGAATACTCACCCTGTGGTTGTACTCCATGTGGCGACAAACCTATCTGAATACTCACTCTGTGATTGCTCCGTGTAATTACAAACCTATCTGAATACTCACTCTGTGATTGCTCCGTGTAATTACAAACCTATCTGAATACTCACTCTGTGATTGTAATCGGTGTAACTACAAACCTATCTGAATACTCACCCTGTGGTTGTACTCCGTGTAGCTACAAACCTATGTGAATACTTACTCTGTGATTGTACTCCGTGTAGCTACAAACCTATTTGAATACTTACTCTCTGTGATTGTACTCCGTGTAGCTACAAACCGATCTGAATACTGACTCTGTGATTGTACTCCGTGTAGCTACAAACCTATCTTAATACTCACTCTGTGATTGTACTCCGTGTAGCTGAAAACTTATCTGAATACTCACCCTGTGATTGTACTCCGTGTAGCTACACACCTATCTGAATACTCACTCTGTGATTGTACTCCGTGTAGCTGAAAACTTATCTGAATACTCACCCTGTGATTGTACTCCGTGTAGCTACAAACCTATCTTAATACTCACTCTGTGATTGTACTCCGTGTAGCTACAATCCTATCTGAATACTCACTCTGTGATTGTCCCACGTGTAGCTACAAACCTATCTGAATACTCACCCTGTGGTTGTACTCCGTGTAGCTACAAACCTATCTGAATACTCGCCCTGTGGTTGTACTCCATGTAGCTACAAACCTATCTGAATACTCACTATGTGATTGTAATCCGTGTAACTACAAACCTATCTGAATACTCACCCTGTGATTGTACTCCGTGTAGCTACACACCTATCTGAATACTCACTCTGTGATTGTACTCCGTGTAGCTGCAAACCTATCTGAATACTCACCCTGTGATTGTACTCCGTGTAAGACTAGGGTGAACAGAAGTAATATGGAGGAATGTTGGAACATTTTCACATTTGTCCAGTTTTTCAAAATTCCTTTGTGATTTGCATTCACTTTGAAACTTTATGAAATATGAAGGCTTTGTATTGTACGGTCGGTAGTCCTATTGGGAAGTGACCATAGCCTGTCCACATAGACTCACCTGTAACAAACAAAAAAAAACATTTAAAGAGTTTGACTTCATACAAAAGTTTGATCCATAAAATTAGTCCGGTACATCCTATGGCGTGTCACATGGTCATGTAAAATCATTCTGCTTTTATACTTTTTAAGCTTTGCTCATTCAATGATTATATGCACAAATGTTATTGACATGCACCAGGATACCTAAGTAAGTTCGTGTTTGATGTTTCAGAAATCATGCTTTTGGTTTTGGAAAAAACAACTCTTGTTTTATACAAAATTGAATTTAAAAAAATCGTTTAGTCAACACTATTCCCAGTTTTGGCGTTGCATTGAGAGACAAAAAATCAAGATCTTTAGGTTTTAATTGAGGAGGACGATCTGTGTAACTAAGATTCGAATGTCGAGCCACCAGCACTAATTCAACTTCCTATGCTGTTGTAAAATGTTTTTCAAGCTCGCTGCCAATATCTTTTGTTAAGCCACGCGCTTAGAGGCGCTACAAAGGAAATTGTTCAACGCAAAAAATAAACATTAGTAAACAAAAGTGGCGGGTTTGGGTGACGATATGCGAGTAATGCGAGTTAGAGATAGTGGGGTTTCTTCTGTATTGCCTTATTTCATCATTCGTCGTTTTTGTGTCTCCTGCAACGCGAGGCGACATATAGGTATTACTTTGTCGGCGTTGTCGGTCGCTGCAACAAGGTTTCCGTGCAATAACTGGATTTTCCTTTGGTTGATTGCTTGGGATTGCTGCTTTTCAGGTCCCAAGATCAAAGGTCAAGATCACTGTTACTATAAATAAAACATCTGTTTCCGTGCGATAACTCGAATTTCTTTAAGTTGATCAAGTTCAGACTTCATACAGTGCTTTCTTACCAATAATGCTTACTTGGGATTGCTTTTCATGTTCGAAGGTCAAAGGTTAATGTCACCGTTACTACAAATAGAAAATCTGTTTCCGTGCGATAACTCAAATTTCTTTAGGTTTATCGAGCTCAGACTTTATACATTGCTTCCTTACCAACAGTGCTGCTTGGTATTGTTTTTCAGGTCCCAAGGTCAAAGGTTAAGGTCACCATTACTATAAATAAAGAATATGTTTCCGTGCGATAACCTGAAATCCTTAGGGTTGATTCAACACAATATTTATACGGTGCTTCCTTACTAAAAGTGCTTGCTTTTGATTGCTTTTTAGGTCCGACGATCAAAGGTCAAGGTCAACGTAACTATAAATAGAAAATCCGTTTCCGTGCAATAATTAGAGTTTCTTTGGGTTGATCGAACTCAGACTTCATACAGTGCTCTCTGACCAATAGTGCTTGCTTGGGGTTTTTTCACGTTGATATAAATATATCCCGCCTTCATAATTTCATAAGAGTTGCCTGAGTATGCGACACATGCACTCCTGTGGAATTCTTGTTGTTTTTTTTTGTTACAGGTGGCGTATCAGTCAGCGGTACGGCCGTTGTCATCAAACAAATCGATTGCATGTACAGAACATGTCTGGAATGGTCGGCATCAATCTGTATATTTGTTTGATCATACATTGTTTTCGTTATATGGTTTTCTGAGAGACATTTCACGGTTCAGAAACATGTTCACATTACCACACGATACGTCGATGTTCGACCTTTAATTTTTGAATCTGTTTCTCTTGTCACTCCTGGTTTTGTTTCCATGTCGTCCGCTGCTTCTTTTTTATACCTACTTTTACCTTCTGAAATATGTTAAGCACGCTCAAAAAGTGCAGAGAATAAACAATAGCCTGCTTTTGATAGTCCTTTTGAAAGCACGTTTATTAAAACCCCAAAATAAAAAGACGAAATCAATCTCACGTTTATTTTTAGATAGTTTAGTTCAAGCCTGAAAAGCTTAACCACTGACTTAATTATATTATGCATGTTTAAGGTAAGAACATAAGTTGCTGTTCTCCCGAGAACGTTTTCTCGTAAACAAAGACGCATACAACGCACTCAGAGTCGGGCGCATTTTTACCATCAAAACTGTGTTCGCTTAGAATGTTTTCGGCCAAAAATAACTTTCCATATCCAGTAGAGCCAGTAACCTCATAGATCAACTAAGGTTTCCATAATAGAAAATAGTCCTCGGATGATAAACCTGAACCATGATGACATGATGATCTTGTTTGTGTCCTTTCGTGAAATAATGTCTCAAAATAGATCCTCCCATCACTTCAGGATATCTTGTTTGATTTCTTCTAAGATGCTGCATATGTTGTGTATAGATGCTTTAAGAGGATAAACCATAGTTACCTGTTTCGTATTTAATAAGCCAGTGAACACACCTTATCCAGCGTTGTAGGCCGACGATAAATTGTTCTTTTTTATCGGCTCAGAGATTATTCATGAGATAACTAACAGGTAGACATGTGTGCTCCTGTGCAGCCAGATATGACGAGGTATAAAGTCTGAAATTTTATGAAATTTAGAAAGACCTCCTATACAATACAAACACATGCTTTGTAAAAGAATAAAAACAAACCCTTGCTAATCGGTGGCTATGTATGATCTTGTCAGTCTCACGCTAGACACATTCCTGGTTAAACAAACTCTATAGAAAATCTTGTCTGTCACTAAGCTACACAAATTCATGACTAAACAAAATGTTTTTGATAAACATGTCCGTCACTTAGCTAAAAACGTCCCAGGTTAAATAAACCCTTGGGTAATCAAGTCTGTTACTCAAACACTATAGATTACAAGACCCTTTCATGCCAAGGGGTGTAGGATAGGGACATTCCCCCGAGGGGTTTTCAAATTTGGTAAAACCCGAAGCTTTGCCGAAGGTTTTGCCAACTTTGAAAATTCCGAGGTTGGAATGTCCCTATCCTTCACCCCTGGACATGAAAGGGTCTTATAATTGAGAATACTTAGCACCATTTTGAAAATATCAATTTCCCCCCTGAGCTTATTAGACGAAAACGAATCAGCCAGCCAGATTAAGCATATCCCATATTTGCAAACAAAGTTTGCGCAGAAAAAATCTTTCTAACGTGTACGGTAAATATAAAGTAAAATGTATTCATTTCATCACGTCGCCTTTTCCGCATTGCGGCATCGGAGAGTTCCAAATTCGTGACGTCACGTCATTGTTGAGCCATTGTTACGTCACGTCATATGAAATGGGGTGTAATATAGAAATTTCCTACACCCCTTTCTTACCCTGGACAGCTCAATCTTACACACATGGAAATGAGAGAAAATACTGGTCTGTCACTCAAACACTGTAGATAATCTGGTCTGTCACTCAAACACTAGATAATATGGTCTGTTACTCTAACACTATAGATGATCCTGGCGGTCACTCAAACACTATAGATAATCTGGTATGTCACTCCAACACTAGATAATCTGGTATGTTACTCAAACACTTAAGATTATCTGGTATGTTACTCAAACATTATAGATATTCTGTTCTGTTACTCAAACACTAGATAATCTGGTCTGTCACTCAAACACTATAGCTAATCTGGTATGTCACTCAAACACTATAGATAATATGGTATGTCATTCAAACACTAGATAATCTGGTATGTCACCCAAACACTATAGATAATCTGGTTTGTCACTCAAACACTATAGATAACCTGGTCTGTCACCCAAACACTATGGATAATCTGGTCTGTCACTCAAACACTATAGATGATCCTGGCCGTCACTCAAACACTGAAGATAATCTGGTCTGTCACTCAAACACTATAGATAATCTGGTATGTTACTCAAACACTATAGATAATCTGGTATGTCATTCAAACACTAAATAATCTGGTATGTCATTCAAACACTAGATAATCCAGTCTGTCACTCATCCACTATAAATAATCTGGTCTGTCAGTCAATTACGTTAGATTATCTAGTATGTAACTCAAACACTATAGATAATCTGGTCAGTCACTCAAACACTATAGATAATCTGTTTTGTCTCTTTAAACACTATAGATAATCTGGTATGTCACTCCAACACTAGGTAATCTGGTATGTTACTCAAACACTTTAGATTATCTGGTATGCTACTCAAACACTATAGATAATCTGGTCTGTCACTCAAACACTAGATAATCTGGTCTGTCACTCAAACACTATAGATAATCTGGTATGTCATTCAAACACTAGATAATCTGGTATGTGACTCAAACACTATAGATGATCCTGGCCGTCAATCAAACACTATAGATAATCTGGTATGTTACTCAAACTATATAGATAATCCTGGCCGTCAATCAAACACTATAGATAATCTGGTATGTTACTCAAACAATATAGATAATCTGGTATGTCATTCAAACACTAGATAAGCTGGTCTGTCACTCTAACACTATAGATAATCTGGTATGTCACTGAAACACTATTGATAATCTAGTATGTCATTCAAACACTAGATAATCTGGTATGTCATTCAAACACTAGATAATCTGGTATGTGACTCAAACACTATAGATAATCTGGTATGTCATTCAAACACTAGATAATCCAGTCTGTCACTTAAACTATATAGATAATCTGGTATGTTACTCAAACACTATAGATAATCTAGTATGTCATTCAAACACTAGATAATCTGGTCTGTCACTCAAACACTATAGATAATCTGGTATATCACTCAAACACTATAGATAATATGGTATGTCATTCAAACACTAGATAATCTGGTATGTCACTCAAACACTATAGATGATCCTGGCCGTCACTCAAACACTATAGATAATCTGATCTGTCACTCAAACACTTTAGATAATCTGGTATGTCACTCAAACACTATAGATAATCTGGTCTGTCACTCAAACACTATAGATAATCTGGTATGTTACTCAAACACTATAGATAATCTGGTATGTCATTCAAACACTAGATAATCTGGTCTGTCACTCAAACACTATAGATAATCTGGTATGTCACTCAAACACTATAGATAATCTGGTATGTCATTCAAACACTAGATAATCTGGTATGTCACTCAAACACTATAGATAATCTGGTATGTCATTCAAACACTAGA